CCCCCCCATCCCAACCTTTACGCCCTTCCCTACACCTGTATCACACCCAGGGAGTGTCTGTGGCATACATACAAGCAGATGCCTGACAACATTTTATGTGTAACATCCGTCTGAGGTTGGCTTTGTTTTGTCTGAGCAGAGACAAGCACACCCATACAATAACCATCATCAAAAGCCAAAGCAGGGGAAAAACAAGACAAGCATAAAGACACAAATAAACAGGGTGACAGAAAATACAGACTTCAACATATTAAGTTAAGGACCACTTTGACAGGCAGCCCTGATTTTTTTTAATCCAAAAAAAAGACTTCAAGGAATGCTTCAAAATTGTTTGCTCTGAAAGTGTTAATGGGTTACCAAGGCGTACTGCAAAGCTTCCTAAAGGGGCAAAACCACCATGTATAGCTCGGAAATCCTTGGGGAATTTTAGCCAAATTTGCTGCTCTTTTATCGTCTTGTGTGCGACACCACGGACATTCCTCAGTTAAAATTTCAGGTCCACGTTATAAACGGACGTACTGTCTCGAACTGAGCTCACTTTGGTGGCAATATAAGCCGCTGTATGTACAAAATCCAGTATTGCATCAACATGCCACCAAGACCAAAGCCGAGACTTTGATCGTGCCAGAGCTATGGCATGGCTGTAGGATGGAGTTAGAGTCCGAGAAGTTGTCAGAAGGCTAGCAATGTCACACTCTGTCACTGTCCGCCTGAGGCAGTGCCATCAAGCCACTGGATCAGTCCAAGAACGCCTACGCGCAGGTCGACCCAAGAAGACCACTCAGTGTTTGCAAGGGGTCCTTAACTTAATGTTGAAGTCTGTACGATTAAGTAGAACCTATCAGTAGCCAATGGCACTATCCAGCCACCCCCACAATCATGTATCAAACATCTACTGTCCCTACCCCTCCTCCTCCTTTTTTGTGTTTGTTACTCTCTTGTAACACATCCATTTTGGCACTTATATGACCTTATTGTGTTGAAAGCGCCGTAAAACTCTTACTAAGACTAAAGAATGTAGTGCAAGGGGGGAGAGGGTGGGACGAATGGAAG